AATCACAATAGATCCAAAGATAAATCCAAAATAATGACTTCAAATTTCAATTCAGAACATAAATTAATAATAATAATAATTTGACAATAAAATTATCAAATTTGTGAAAACTGATTTACAATAAATACAAAAAAAAATGGCTTTACCAATGACATCACTGTTGAGTAGTTTGCCAGGACGATACAGAAAGTAAATCAGAAATGTTTTTAGTTCTTTAATCCCATAAATTAAAAAGTTAAAAACAACAGGTCCCTCATTGACCTAATGGCTAAGGTGCAAACATAAGTGCAATGCCAGTTTGTGTTTTTGTTCCTCAAAATTAGCAAATGAAAAAGAAAGATATCTGGTATTTGTAGCAGAGCTCAGGTACTGCATTGTGCTGGCACTAATGTAAAAAAATATATAGAAATATCCAGCTGGAGTGAATAATTCGAGGATTGATTAGTGGATGCAGGACCCTTTAAAAAACAAAAGAGCGTCTCACACGGAGCAGCCGGCGAGAGCTTTTTGTTGTCAGAGGGAGAGACCACGTTAGTGTGAGGCTGTTCAGTGTGTATCTGCATGCTGACATCGTACAGCACACGGCAGTGCAGATCGCATGAATGGTCCCCCGCTCTCCTCCAGCTCCACCCTCCACTCAACATCACTCATGTCATTTCCTATTAACCTATATCACCAAATAGCAGCTCTGAAAAAACAGTAATCTCCTGCAGATATAATCTCCATATCCACATCAGCATGTTAACACACATTTAAAATATGTTAGGTCTGAACTGGACCGAATCAACCCAGGAAATTAGAACCATTTAAATACAGAGTTCAAATCAGTTTTTTGACAACCAGGATATCTACTAATTAACAAAATAAATAAATGAAAAAATGAAAAGAAAAGAAAACACCGCTTTGGATTGATTCTTTTTTTTTTTTATAAGATTCTGTTCAGCAAAAAGCAAGTTCCATTTACACCATAAATCCTGCCTCTTCTGCCTCACTTCTAAAACAACCACACTAAATCTCAGAACGAAATTTAAAAAAAAGAAAAAAAAAGATACTGAACAGATATTAGGACCAAATACTGTGAAATGATGCAGCCACAAAATATCAGAAGATTCGATGGTGATATGTCACATGACACTGTGGTGCATGTTTAAAAGAATTGATTTAGAATATGACACGATCTCCTTAAACTATTAAAACACCACAAACACACTGGGACCCAGTGGTAAAATGAAGGACTATTATAGAGTTCTGTCTGTGATGCCATAAAAACAAAAACAGTTATTATAGTTATTTTAGGAATAATTTGGGAATATTATATATTAAGTAAAAATAGTGCTGTTTGTTTTATTCACTAAATAGAAAATAAAGGAGACACATTAGATCAATTAATACTGAGAGTAACACTGAATACAAAGTAAGAAATGATGAGTTGGTCATTTTAGAATTATTACAGTTATTTCAGTGACATTTTAAATCTCCCTAAATCAAATATTATAGGGAATACACTTTGTAAATTAGCTGTAAAATCCATTTATACAACGGTGCACTGATCAGCCACAACATTAAAACAGCTGAGTGGTTTTAATGTTGTGACTGATCTGTGTGTTCTTTGACTGAGTGAAGCCATGAAGCCGTGGAAAATAATTTGAAACTACAAATTACGTTTTTAAATCAAATTACTAATGGTTCAGAATGAACTCTTAGAAACCAGTTACCTGTCGCAATGTTGTGGCTGATTGGTGTATATTCTGTGTAAAATACTGTATCAGTATCTACTCTGTCAGATATTTGTTTTTTATAGGCCACACTTTTCTACCACTCTCTCCCTCTCCGGTCTCTCATCTGTTTCTTGTGCTGCTGAAATGCTACATTTCCTTCCTGAGGATCAATAAAGTTTTTATCTTATAGCAGCAAAATTATTGATACTTTATGAAATACAATGACAACATGAGTCAGGTCGTTTCTAAGGTTAGTATTATAGTCATTAAAATCAAGACACACACAATAACTCTCCATTTAGGAATATTTTAGGAATGGCATGGTACATGTTAAACTTCACGTTGTGTCCAGTAAATCATCATTACATTTTTTAATATATTTTTATATACTTTAGATTTTACATTTTTGTATGCTGTCATTTTGATGTGTATGTTTTGTTTAAAATGTATATACAGGATATTTATTCATACATTTGTATATAATACTAATGGTTAATTGCTTTTATTGTGATACCATATTAACACACCACAGGACTGTGTTATTGCTGCCTGAAAATATGTAAAAAAATAATTTAATATTCAATATAAAAAATATCACAGTGTGATAATGGAAGTCTTTTACCAACTGTAGCTGTACAGTCAGCCTCTACTCTGCATGAGTCATAATTGCGGTAATACACAGTCCAATGAAAACCATGTATCTCCAACATCCATGTATAAAATGGAGCCTAAACAAATTCTTGTTTTTATATCTATTTCAAGCTTCGTGAAAACTTATATTTTAGGGTCATTTGGTGGCTTATAGAAGTTTTTTTTTTTTTTTAGCCAAAGACGTTGGCATTCAACCCACCTGTTTATCTGAAAACTAGACTCCAGATCACACACAGAGATACGTGGTTTTCACTGAACAGTAACATGAAAGGGGAAGTCAAGTGGATTTCTCACTTTACATTATTCTCGCTCTTCACTGTTTGTTTCACACTATCTTTGAGGAAATGAACACTGCTAGTTACTGTTTGACAGCATTATTTGATAGTCCTCATTTTATTCAAAGAAATAAATAACTAGATATAAATGTAATATTTATTCCAGCACCTCCATGTACTTTTGGACTTGTACAACACAGAACCGACCCCACCACAGCCACTGTACGTACATTTTCCCACAACAATCTCATGTGCATGGCCTCCTGTGTGTCTGCCCATAATAACTGTTCGTTGGTTCCTGACAACCAGACTCACATACGTACACAATGTTGCGATGCTCTATTTTAACAGATTATTTCATTTTGCTTTGGAGTCTCAAGTTTTGAACCATTTTCCCTCAATCAATAAAATACACTGAAGCAAAGTTGCTCAGTCTGCTGTTTGCCTCAAACTGGAAAACAGTTTTGATCGTGATATTCCCAGTGATCCCAAGGCTCTAATTCCACCTGGGCCTACACACATCCAGAAGTTTTAGAACTAACGGTAACTGAAATCACTGTCCACCACTGTCAACGTTCTGGTGGTGATTGAGAACATTTCCCCTCGTTTTTAAAATAAATAAATAATTTGACAAAGCAAAAGAGATTTTATCCAACAATCCAACAATAGGCCTGTTAATGCAAGAAGATTATTCAACACATGCTTCACTGTTTTTGACTATACACTTCCCTCACACTCTTCCCTCTGCTTATCAGATGACCCTTTTTTTTATTATTTTAATTAAGCTTTTGTTTTTAATCTTCTGTGTCACTGAATGATTTGTTTTTTTATATATATATATATATCTATGTATATGCACATGCAGCGGAAACTACACAAAGGCAGCAGGACAGTGAATAAAGAAAAACTGACATGAAATTGAACTGATATTGTATTTATACTGTGCAGGATGCTGAGCTTGACAGTAAGTATAAGTTGAAAACAAAAGGGGGAAACAATGTGAAAGGAAACATGGACACCACGCTGAAATTCACTCAATTTAGGCCCGTTGATACAACGCCGGGAAAGTCACAAACTGGAAACAGCGTTTACTGAACTCATGTTATCTTTTTACGCTGCTTCACATTAACAGCAGATTTATTTAAATGGTGCTGTCAGAAAAGAGCTGAAGATGAAAACAAATTCTTTCACACTGGTTAAAGTCTCATAATAAATCTGATGAGTGCAAATGCTCTTTTTTCACTTGTGCCTTTTACAGACGATGTGAAATGAAAGCTTCATTAATCACCTGCAGATTTTAAAATCTGCATCAAAAAAACATCACATATGATAAAAACTAAATGACAAACAACAACATTAAACTCTTTATGTTACAATATTCCTGCAAAATGGCCAATGGCCTGGGCTCCATATAATCCACTCTCAACCTGATCCTTAAGAGCCACCTGATCCTTTTTTATTTTGCTGCTGCTGCTGCTGTCCCCTGCAGACAATAGAGGCATGTTGTTGGGACAGAAACCAAGTCCCTCACTAGAGGGGGCACCAGACCCACTGATGCTACAAACCTTCATGTTTGTGTCACAGCTTTCTGATCACTTCAAGCTCCTCGCAATCAATCAGAAACGCTCCTGCGGCCATCTCTGAATGCTTTCTCTCACCTCTCTCCCTGATCATGCCATAATACGATGAGCCGTTGAGGGGCTAATGGCAGTAATAACACCAGCTGGATAATGCAGTCCCTTAAGTAAAAACACAACACTGAGAATAAACACTGTATCCCAGTGATTTAATTCATCCAAAAACAACAAACAGCTTTAATGTTAAATGGATTAATCCTTCAATTCTGTGCAAAATCCCCCAAATCTAATCTTTCCTATTTTTCCTCCCTTTTAAAATGTTTTTCTCCTAACATCTTCACGCTTTATTTTAAGTCTTTAATGAAGAGCAATTAAGAGCAGGATAGTGAAGTGGTGTGAGTGAAATGTGCTGTGAGCAGGACATGAAAATAAAATATGGGTTAGTGCACAGAGCAGAGAGAGAGAGAGAGAGGGGGGACTGTTGGAGGGAAATCCCATGACCTTGTCATTTCGTATCGATCTCTTTTTGTTATTGATCAATAATGGTAATCATAACACCAGTGATTCTAAATAAATTTCATTCACCTAAATTGGAGAAGAGGAAACACGAGGAAGCGCCAAAACAAAGCCAGAGAAAGGTGGAGAGACCAAAGAAAATTAGTGACTGTGGGGAAAAATGGTTTTGTTTTTTTCTGTGGTAAGTTTAAATTCCTTTTCTTGTCCAGAGGCACAAAGTAAACCACAACACCAGCCCGGCAGAGAGGTATTTCTGCTCTTACCTGCCAGTCTGAGGGCCGACATCCTCTGAAACTCGGGCTCCTGCAGCCACTTCCACATCCTCCTGAAGGTCTCCCGGCCTGACTTTAGTTTACTCCAGGGTTTGGGGTTCCTCAGCAGGTCCGACAGGGTCCCCTGGGAGCGGCACAGCACCCTCTGGGCGAAGATGGCCTGGGGGATGCTGTACCTTTTCAGCTCCGCCGTGATCCTCTGCGCTACCTCCTTGGTGTTGATTTCTTCCAGCTGCCCCGAACTGTTCCCCCCCTGCGTCCCCGAGGAGGAGGGCGGTCTTTCCCGGGTGGAAGCCAACACGGGCCCGTGGGATGGAGACTGGAGGTGGGAGTGGGGGTGGTGACCCGCCGAGGAGGCAGCCGGGTGCCCCGGGTGGTGCATCCCGTTCAGGTGCGGCATCATCCCGCCCGCCGGGCCACCGAGGCCTCGGTGCTGGTGGTGGTCCCCTCTGGCCAGCATGGAGGCGGTGTGGTGCGCGTCGAAGTTCAGCATCTTGTCGTGGCCTCCGTGCGTTGCCGTGCCGTAATTGTGGAGACCCTGTTGGGTGTTGTGTATGGAACCCAGGCCGTTGCCCAGCACCGGGGACAGACTCTGACCCATCCCGGACATGTGGTCCTTGTGGTACGGGCTGTAGAGGTTGTTCATGCCCGGTAGTCCCCGCTCGTCCCGCATCAGGGTGAAGCTCCCGCTCACGTTCCCGGAGAGCCGCTGGTGGTGGTGGTGATGGTGATGGTGGTGAAACTTGTCCGACACGGTGGAGATGGGGGGCAGCGGCTGCAGCGGGGTTAAGGTGGTGTAGGTGCCGCTCATCCCCATCCCGGGAGAGGACGTGTCGCAGGGCACGCTCATGGCGTGGTGCAGCGGCAGGGACAGCTCCGGCCGGTACTCCCCGCTGCCGTCCAGTATCGTGGCCATGCCTGACACCATGGCGGAGCGGGATGACGCGGCGGCGGCGGCCAGGTCCTGGTGTATCCGCAGGGTGGACGCCGCCGCCGCCGCTGCAGCCGCCGCCGCCCCGTGTCCCCCCGCTGCTACCGAGCTCCCGCGGCCGTGGTGCGGGCTGTGGCCGGTCATCAGCTCAGCATCAGGGGCCACGGAGCTCACCGCCACCCCGCCATGCAGGCTGCCAATGCCGTCCATTGTCATGTCCGTGTTCATGGCGTAAGCGTCCAGATCCTTGGCCAGGCATCTATAGGCGTTAGTGTAGGCAGTCTTCATTCATCTGTCCTCTCAGTCCATCAGGTCGAGCGGAATTATCTCTCCTTCTCCTCCTTTCTCTCGCCGCTTCTCCCCTGATGCGCCGGGATGGGTCAGTAGTCGTATTCCCCCTCTTCCTTCACTCCCTCGGTTGTTTCCCCGTCCTCCTAAGGCCTCTCCAGCTCCGTGTCTTTGTGTATTTTCCCCGGTGTGTGCACATGAAAAAAGTGTTTTTATCTCGATCATACGGGCCTGTGCGGTGGCTCCCCCATATCCAGCCCTCTCCTCCTCTTGCGTTACTCTGCTCCTCAGACGGGAGCTGTCCACGGTCCCCTAGCCGACCGCTCAACCCAACGTGCTGCGTGAGGAGGAGGGGGAGAAGCGGGCTCGGATGGAGGGGCTGCACCCTCCTGACTGATGGGGCAGCGGACCAATTAGAGTGGCCGGCAGGGATAGGGAGGGCGTGGCTCCCGGACCGGCTGGCCAATCAACGTCTTTGATGGATGCAGCGGCGTGGACAGTGAAGATGCTCCGGGTGGGATTTGAATGAAACATCATTATTGTACAGTATTTATAATATTCTGTTAATATAACTAAAATGTGAGTGTAAAGCGATCATATTAGTCATTTTATTTTCTCCTATATTATCCTTATTTCTAATTGATAGTTTTATAAATTCACATTGGAGTTATTAACATTCTTTCCTATAATATTTCTGTGATATCACCATAAAGATTTATACCATGTGTATGGCACCACGTGAGTGTGCCATACACACGCCGTTCAATGTGTCCTTGTTTGAATCTCTTCTTGGTTTTGAAAGGAAAATTCATTCTGTGCATATAAATACTGATTTCTCCTGTTGTTACTGGTCAAATCTGAATGGGATCAATCAAAGTATTTCTGTAGCTAATCTGAGTTTCACAGTTTATTCTTCTCATCAGAAACAGCAGTATCATGTCCCCAGTGCATTTAGTAGCTGTTCTGGTGCTTTTGAACATATCACATGATCTTCATCAGCCACTGAGTATGACCATTTGTTTTTAAGACAAACATGGATGTGAAGTCCTTTAAGTGTCAATCTTAATATCTACAATTTGCTTTTGAAGATTATGTGATGATCAAAAGCTACAGAATGGATCGATTCTCTGTCGTATTTTATAGACATTTGTGGCACGTACAGCCTTGAAAGCAAGACGCTCAAGGTGTCCTCCATCGAAATTGATCAAAGTTATCCCATTTTTTTTTTAAATCCTTTAATATAAATCATTTAATCAATAAAACAACTGAGAAAAAAGAAAAAGAAAGGCAGTTTATTTCAATGTTTTTATTTTTGAAATTCAAAGGAAATATAGAAAATGATCAGCTACTGAAAATTCACAACAATCATTAATATTCATATAATTTTGCTGTAAAATTCCTGTAGGGAGTTGTTATGTTCATGCTGCGGAAAAAGGTGTGAGGAAAAATTTGCAGTCTACTTATGGGGGTCAGAGGGAAATGAATGTGAAATTAATTAAGCCTTTATGCAGACGGCCAGGAGGCTGAAGGCATCCTGCAGTGTCTGCGTGGAGAGTCAGTGATGCACATTTACATCCTGCAGATATTCTCGTTCACTGAAAAAGACACAATCCATCGTTAATCTGTGAATTCTTTGCAGCAAACTGAGGATGCTGCTTTTTGTTGTCCTCTGCTGCTCCTGCAGGGAAGCCATTTGCCCACAGGGATCATTAAAATTTGATCTCATCTCACCTCTCATCACCTGCTGCCTCTGATTGTTGAGGTGACAGGAAACAACACATAACAAACGCATGATGAAACCAGGACTAATGTGACAGACGACCTGAACCTTCCCCAGCACTAAGGACATTTCCCTTTTCTTATTCGTCACAAAGTGCCAGCTTCCAACTGTCTGTGTCATTCGTGTTTAATGTTGGACTTCCCCACAGCACTCGAATGCAACTTGAGGACAAATAGAAAGTGAAACTCATCAAATAGTGGACATCAGTGGTCCAGACCAGTAGTGTATCTCACATTAACAGTGACACAACACAGCCTGACGTGATGCAACGTGACAGGTTGCATATAATATAGGATGACACAGTATCATAACATGACATATGATATCATAGCATGGTATATTATCATGAGATGGTGTGTCATAGTTTGATGTCACGTGACATGACACTATAAAATGAAATGAAACACCATCTAATAATATGATGGGAAATGTACTGATATAATACTGAAATAAGATAATGTGACTATACATGACTTGATGATGCAGTATAGTATGACGTGACATATCTAGCAGTGTGATGCGTCACATGACAATGTGACATGACGTGGGAGAATATAACATATGATGACATGGCATAACACAACATGAAAAGACAAGGCATGACGACTAATGTCAGGACATAATGTCACATTACATGACATGAACTGTGACATTATGTGATGTAAGATGAAGCAATGCATATGACATGGCACAACACAACATGCTAATAACATGGCATGTCACAACTGTTTTGAATTGCATAAATAAGGAAGTAACAACATAAAATGACATATTACCGGAGGGGCGAAACATATGCAAAGTATTGTACAAGTACAGTCAAGTGTTCTGATGAGATATTGAGAGCCCTCCCAGCTCCACCCACAAGCAGGCAATGAGAGAAAATTACAGAATGAAGGAAAGTTACTTAATAATAAACAAAATAATATAAAAAATAATTACAAAACATGAAAAGACAACAAAACAAGGGAGAAAGAAAAAATATAAATTAAAATAAATAGCTAAATAAATCGCCATTCCCCACCTGTCATCACTTAGATTATTAGTAAAGTCAATTCAAGCTGTTTCATAAATTGAAGTAAATCAAAAATGTAAATACATACACACATGGAGGATACAACATGTTATGATGTGACATGACAGAAGATACCACGGCATCTCATGACGCGATACAACATACAGAGCACAGAGTTCAGACTGTTGTGTGTGTGTGTGTGTGTGTGTGTGTGTGTGTGTGTGTGGTGCTGGACAGATGTTTGCAGCTGTGTAGTGTACACTGCAGCGATGTGTCGGTGCATGTTGGGACGCTATCGACAGTCTCTGGGCGGAGTGATGAGCCTGGGAGCTGCACCGAAAGAGCATTATGGCCTGTAGCCTGTTCACTTTACAATTCATTACACTTCCAAGGACAAATGGCTGCTAAATAACTCTGTCTGCCTCTCTCACAGGCTCCCTTTCATTCACTCATCCATCATCATAAAATATTAAGGTTAAAGACAACAACAAGAAAAAAAAAACAATTAGAGACTTATTTTACATTAAATAACTAATAATTCCACCTAGTGTGTAATGTACACACAATCAGCCTCAGCACATACTGAAGTGTGTTTTTGCCTGTTCAGCCGACCTGCTGTGCGCTGACTCTAGGTTATATGCGAGCAGTTATTTGTAATTAATTAATTGGAAGTGAACCTAGCTGAACTCTGTAAACACCATCCCCTACCAAATTTCGCAGCTCTTTCCAGGAAATGTCTTGGAAAATGATTGTTAAATTGTGCACTGTGTCAAGTAAAGTGTTACACAATTGACTGTGCCTGAATGATGAGACGGTGGATGAGGGGATGCGTAAAGGAGAGAAGGAGGTGGAGGAGATGGAAGAGGAAGAGATGGGGAGGAGGAGCAGGGATGGGTAGTTGGGCAGATGTTGCTTTGTTTAAAGACTGTTGTGTAATTAAGGACAGAAGAACAGAAGCCTGACCCATTTTCTCCTTTTGATCAGCTGTCAGAGAGATAGGCAGGGGGTCTGCTGAGGGAAGACCTGTCTGTCTGTCTGTCTGTCTGTCTGTCTGTCTGTCTGTCTGTCTGTCTGTCTGTCTGTCTGTCTGTCTGTCTGTCTGGAAGCTGATTGGAGAGGCGACTGCCATTTGATGTTCCACCTGACATTCCTCAATGCAGAGAGAGGGAGCCCATACAGAAGTGTAATATATGACATACAGTCCCTCTATCGAGATGCTGTTGTTATAATACTTTATGAAGTATAAGTACTTATAAAGTATATAAGTTGAAGTATTATTATTACATGTATACATCCTGTGGATATATGTAGATATAAGTTTATATTTAATATATAAATATATATATGGTATAACATATTTGCTAAGGATATAACTTTAATATATATCGTATCGTACATCTTATGTCATATGTCTACAATACATATTTGTATACACCAGGCATATATGTCAATATATGAAATTCTTTGGTTTGATATTTAAGTTTTAGATGTATATACATATATTTAATGGAGGGAAATTTACATATACATATACATATATACAGTACATACATATATTACATTTGCATATGGGTGAAAAAGAAGAAGAAAAGGAGGGGCAGAGTGAAGGACTGGGAGGTATAGGAGGATGAGGAAGAAAAATAACAAAGTGAAAGAGTGTGAGAAGGAGGAGGAGGAGGAGGAAGATGAGATGAGGCGGTGGAAGAGGAGACGGACAGCAGAGAGGAGAGGAGGATGAGGAGGAGTGACACAGTAATTTGGGGGGGGGGCAGGAGACGGGGGAGGAAGACTGTAAAGGAGCATCTGCAGGAGGAGGAGGAGGAGGAGGAGGAGGAAGAGGAGACAGAGGAGGAAGTGATAGAGTTTGGAGTCAATACGGTGGTGTAAACAAAACACTGACATCACTGCCTGGCATTGACTAAAGCTCCGCCCCCTCGTTGAGGATTTATTCAATCATTTGGAAACATGCTTGAGTTTATAAACGAGGGTCTGATTGTTGAACTTTCATCTTTTTGTCATTTTATCAAAGATTAAAACCCAAATCATTCTTACTAGTATCTAACAACTACAACTCCCATGAGTCTTTGCTACAAGCTCGCTATCAAGGCCTCAAAGTTTCCCGAAAGCTTTCCCCATAAAGTCACTGTAACTGTTCTCAGTGTTATAACAGGTCAACTGTCCAACGGCTGCAAACACTGAGAGGCTGAG